AATATAGTTGCATAGTTATATATATATATATGATTTAATTTTAATTTTGTTGAATTTTGAATGCGGTTTGGTTTGGTTAGTTCAGATTAATAAATTTCTGTTCAAGTTGGATTCGTTTTTTAACACCGACCACCTTAATTTTTATGTTGGGCAATGTAGATTTTTGAGTTTATTTTAGTTTTTGTATTCTTAAATTTAACACTAAAACAAATGAATAATTATCAGAGAGGATTTTAGGTATATATAAATGCCAAAAACGAATATGATATAAAAAAACTAACAAAAATAACAATAAGATGCTTACGTAGAGCCGAATAATTTTCTTTGGTCAAACAATGAAAGTTTAAAATAGAGCAGAATATTTCTTTTTAATTTGCGAGAGACGTCGCATGAAAGAAAAAAAAAAGAAGAAATAAAAAACAATTAGAAAGGTAAAATAAATAGAACGCAATTAATACGATTGGAGTAAGGTTCGTTGTCTTTCTCTTTCTTCACCTCTGAAAAGATAAAAAAAAAATTTCCTCTGGAGTTACTTTGTGGTTCAAACAAGAATTCTCATGACAAAACCGCAGTTGCTTTCTCAGTCAACTTTTGAAGGGTTGTAAGAAAAATTAAATACAAACCTTTGTTGTATCTTCTATCAAACCCTGAGAGGTAGCAGACCTTTTAAGGCCTATCTTTCTAGCATTGGAAATTTAAAAGTGTTTTATTTTATTTATTTAAAATAGTAAGCAAATCATAGGACACTCATTATCTAATTATCACACCCACCCTCTTTCTCTCTGCTTGGTTTCACCTTTTTAACCACTAATCAAGATACGTTGTCAATTTGTCATAAAATTTCCAACTTTTTTCGCCTCTGTGTTGCTTTTTTAAATTTATGTAGTATTTGTCAAAAACTAAAAGATACGTTGTCATTAACATGAGTACAGATTGTATGAAAAAGGCGAGTGTGGTATTTTAGTTAGTAAATATATACACAATATAACCTTTCTTATAAATCAAATAAATAACCTTGTGATGAAGACCCCGAATCAGATACTAATCAAAATGTAATTATAGATGAAACCATATGGAATAATAAAACCTGATTCTAAGGCCGTTTGTTCTATACAAAATTTAAGATTTATCATCAAATAACAAATATTACGATAGCGCTCAAAGAATTTCCACAAAAGATTTATTAACAAATGGCACCTAAAGTGCTCATAGACTAAATATCTAATATCTGAAATGTTTGATTCTAGGTTAAGTAGCTCCTAGGATTTTTAATAACCTTAACAATTACAATTTGTCCTCGAATTAGTATAGAGCAGGAGCAAGAAAATACTATCGGCACATTTATTTATGATAAAAAATTGGTATTTTGCCAAATAACATACTAATAGATTCTAATCTTGTGCATCTGTATAGGAATTTTTTGTTTTTATTTATAAAATATAATTTGTATTTATTTTGTGTTTAGATATAATTTATTTTTGTAAATTTATTTTTTTTAAATCAAGAATTTTGTTATCATATTTGAATAAAAGTATGAATTAGTTATGTATATATCGATATAAAGTTAATTGTAAACTTTTATTATGTGAATTTAGATTACCACACAACCAATCTATATATTTATGAGTGTTAAAATAAGCTAATCTGTATGTTTAATTGCTTCAAATCATCTTAATATCTTACATGTTTTGACAAACTATTATATATCACATATACTAATATGTTAAAATAAGCTAATCCGCTCAATCATATTATTATATAATATAAATATTTACTAATTTTGAATCTTTGAAAGTTTAGGCTGATTGATTATCATAGAAAAAATACAATAACATATTTGTTTAGGGTATTTTCGGTCCTCTTGTGAGGGCAAGTTTCCTACAAAACCGAAAAATACATGAAGGCCTGGAAAACACGATGGGGGTGTGCTTTCCGAAGGCTCTCGACGCTCAAGTCAGAAACTAACAAAAAAGACCACTAAGTGGCTAATTGGAGAGCAGAAAGAGATCGGAAAATGAGTGAAGGAAAGTGGCCTGAGAGCTCCTGAGAAGAGAAGAAAAGAGAAGAAAATAAGATTTTGTTGGTGGAAAAGCTCTACGGCTTAGGGACCACCATGGAGAGGAAGTGAAGAGATGGTCGGAATAGTGACCGGAAAGTATAAGATGCCAGCATCTAAGACTCACAAATATCTAGAGAGATATTGTGAACCCTAGGATAGCTAAAATAGTGTACGTCCCCTTCTCCGTTGGAGAAAGAGAAGTATTTATAGAGTTTTAGCTGACTCGGATTAGTATATCGGGTTGGATCTTGGTTATCGGGTCATCGGGTCGGTTTTAGATCTTGTTCGGGTTCGATGATTATGTCATATGCCTGTCCTTGTCTGGCTTTCTCACCTACTTTTCTTGGCAGTATTCACCCACTTCCTGACTGCGCCTCGTTGTGTCGCTATCCTTCTCAAAGTTCAATGTTTAAGCGAGGTATGAGCACCTCTCATACTGTTGTCCTTCCCTATCCCCAAAGTATCGTCACTTTCTCCTGTTAGGTATAAGCATAAAGCATTAAATGCATGTTCGTAAATTACTAGAATCAAGGATAAAAGTTAAGTATATTCTGATTGGCGGGAAAGTTTAAGTTAAAAAAACTATTCTAGCCTAAATGATTTATTTACTTGGCCCAAACCCCCTGATACTGGGAGCCGGGTTGTCGTGGCTGCCAGGTGTAGTGTGCCCCTTACGGCTTCAAATTTACTCCTCCCCTTACTCCTCACACGGTTCTGGGAGAAGATGAAGGCTAATTACCCATCCTAATCTGTTCTAAGACTCGATCACCCAGCTTCGTAACTGCACCCTCTCGAAGTGGTACGCTTTTAGGATAAGTGACCATCTAATTTACCATGATTTGTCCGTACTAACCTGTCATAAGTCTCGATCACCCAGCCTCGTAACTGCAATCTCTCGACGTGATGCGCTTTTTAGGATAAGTAACCATCTAATCTAGCTTGAACCATCTGTCCTAACCTGTCTTAAGGTTTGGTCATCATAACCGCACCCTCTCGAGGTGGTGCACTTTTAGGATAAGTGACCGTCTAGTTTACATTGACATGTGTCATCTTCTGATTCGATGATCTAAGGGAAACTATTTATCTCCAACAATATTCATTTCTATGACTCGTTAAATATAAATTAATATCTTGCTATTAAAAAATTCTGCTATTATATTTTGTAAAAAAGTATTATAAAAAGATTTTTTTTGATAAGTAATTTAAGCTATATTTAAGAAACTTCAAAATTATATAAATTAATATCTAAAATTTTAGAATTAAATATAAATACATAATAATATGCTTATTTAAATAAAAATTAATATAATTTTTTTTAAAAAATTTTAGTCAAAATTATTTTCAAATTAAATCTAACAAAATCCAAAATAATATAAATAAATATCTAAATTTTGAAATTACATTTAAATATAAAAATTTTATAATAATTTGTATTTTAAATTAAATCTTATCTATATATTTAAGGAAAATCAATGTAATTTGAACAAATATCTTAATTTTGGAATTAAATGTTTATATAAAAAACTGTATTTTTAACTAATATTGCATTAAATTGGGATAACTTTAAAACTATTCTCAAACATATTTTTTAAAACATTTTGGAAGTGTTTGGAACCAAGCACTAAAACTGCTTTTATTTTAATATAATAGACTAGATTTTACCCCTTGCATCCGCACAGGAATTTTGTTTTAATCAAAATTTGTAATATAATTTATGTTTTCTTTATAAATATAATTTTTAATAAGTGATATAAATTTTTTTTGTGTTTAGATATAATTTTTTTTAAATTTTTTTTCAGTATTATTATGACTATCATGATCATAAAAACATAATTTTAACTCAGTTATTTTATTAATCAAAAAGTGACCGTTATTATAAAAATATATTTCTAACTCGCTCATTTTATTAATCTGAAAAAGGTCATGATTATGAACCATAATTCTAACCGTCCGTTTATATTACTTTATAATGTAAATATTTACTAATTTTGAAATAATTTTTCCTTAATATCTTGCATGCTTTGATAACCTAACCCGCATAAGACCATAATTATAAAAAAACTTAAATTGTCCCATCAAATTATTATATAATATTAATATTTATTTATTTTCAATATGTAAAATTTTAATCTGATAGAATATGATTAAAAAATATAATAAGATATTTGTTAATCATATATGTTATTCTGAAAATCTTATTTAAATTTCAAATGTTAAACTAAATCTAACCTATATTTAAGGAAATCTATTTAAATTAATATCTATAGACTATTAGATATAACCTACATTTAAGAAAATTTTTAGTTATCTAAATTAATATCTAATTTTCGGAATTAAATTTATATATATAAAAAAATATTTTTAAAAAAATTTTATGAGTGTTTGGAAACAAACACTAAAATTGCTTCTGTTTTAATATAATAGATAGATTTTATCAGTGCCAAGTTATTTTGCAAAAGACAAAAATGATATTTTCATTTACCCTAATAAAAAAAATATATTTCCCCTTGATGTACCACTTTTTACGGTAGTCATTTACTTAATTTATTTATGAGATTAGGCTATCTACCTAATCATCATTTTTCGTTTGCTAAAAAGTTTGTAATGTTTTTCTACGTGAGACTAATATCTGATAATACAGTACTACGACAAGAGTGTATAATAAGAGTTTTTTGAATAATATATATAGTTATGTCATTTCGACCAAAAAAAAAAAATAGTTATGTCATTGTACAAAAATGTGTCGTTGATAACAGATAAGAAGGTTATTCTATAAAAGAAATGACAACAGACTATATGCTTAATGACATTATAATGGATGCTTTTGTTGCTCTCTCTCTCTCTCTCTCTCTCTCTCTCTCTCTCTCTCTCTCTCTCTCTCTCTCTCCAGATTCGATCTCCACTATTTAAATAGACAAGGAGTATAGAGAAAGAAAGTGAGATGATGATGTTAGAGTCAAGAAGCAATATGAGAGGTTTAAAGTCAGTCCCAGATCTGTCTCTTCAGATCAGCCTTCCTAACTCTCACGCCCTGAAACCTCTACACGGCGGTGACCGAAGCTCAACCACAAGCAGTGATTCCGGAAGCAGTCTCAGTGAGTTGAGCCATGAGAACAACTTTTTCAACAAACCTCTCTTGAGCTTAGGTTTTGATCATCATCGTCGTCAACAAAGGCACTCACACATGTTCCAACCACAAATCTACGGTCGAGATTTCAAGAGAAGCTCATCATCAATGGTTTGTCTTAAGCGAAGCATTCGAGCTCCAAGAATGAGATGGACTTCTACTCTCCATGCTCACTTTGTCCATGCCGTTCAACTCCTTGGCGGCCATGAAAGTAATTTCCTCTGACATTTTCCCTTCTTTTCAATAAATATTTAAGATTTATGTCTCCTATCAATATTTTGAAACCAAAGACTAAGATGTGTCGTGTACTGGTCGGATTCAGGAGCAACGCCTAAATCAGTGTTGGAGCTAATGAATGTGAAGGATCTAACCCTAGCTCATGTCAAGAGTCACTTGCAGGTCCATTTCTATTTTCTTTTCTATTTATAATTTTTTTTAAGTAGTAATGGAATCTCGTAAGAATGCAATATATGTATATGTAAATAAAGGTGTATATTTGGGCCACTATCTAACACGTGATTGCAAAGTTGAAATAAAATTAGCCATAATTTTTTTTATTATTATCATTTTCCTTCATTTGTATTGATTTTCAAGGATGTGTGTTTGACGATGCAGATGTATAGAACAGTGAAATGCACTGATAAAGGATCATCAGGTATGCATCCAAACCGGATTGACTGATTTTTATATATACATATATATATATATATAATATTAACTGATTTTTGTATTCCTTTGGATACAAATGTATATACTATCTCATTTTTGTATTTTGTTTAAAACTTGTTTTTATTTTCTTGGGAATAAACAGGAGCAGGAAAGGTGGAGAAAGAGGCAGACCAGAGGATAGAGGACAATAATAATAATAATGAAGAAGGAACTGACACAAATTCGCCAAACTCATTATCTGCGCAAAAGACCGAAAGGTTACATTTTATATATTTTATTCTGTAAAACTTTGCATTTAATCTCTTTGCCTTAGTTATGCGTGAATTTTGATGAATATGACCCTCTTCTTGGGTCTTATGTGAATGTACTCGTCCTGTTGTCTACTTCCCCTTCAAATCCGTTAAGCTCCTTTTTTTCTAAAGAAAAAGTAATTCTGACTTTTCTTAGTTAAATTATATATATATATATGTGTATATATATTGAGGTCGAAATAAAACATGTTTGAATACAAAAGGTATAAGACTATAAGTAGTGACAACCATGGCTTATAGGGTCCAACAAAATGAGTTATAAGTAAATTTCTCAAATGTGTTTTAATATCATATAAATTTGAACAGAGCTTCTTGTTCATCCACAAAGGGAGTATCTATGAGCATATCTACACAAGCAGATCCTCACTTGGGAGCAACTCGTCATACCAAGGTACATTCTTTAACAATTGTCAATGTTATTATAGATGTTACACTCTCACATGTACTTATATAACCTAATATGTAAATGTTTCTAAAATGTGAAACCTTTTGTAAATAGGATGATGGGGAGAAAAAGGACATCAACGCTCATCTCAATTTGGAATTCACATTGGGCCGGCCAAGTTGGGGAATAGTGGACTATGCGGAACCCTCCAGAGATCTAACCCTTCTTAAATGCTAATCGTTTATCTAGGAGAACTACAAGAAATAAATCAGCTTAGATTATCGGTTTAACATATATAACTTGTTTGATCATATAGACATTAGAAGAATCATTATCATCATATATGAACTTCTTTTAAAAATGTTCTATGAGTTTTTTTTTTTTTTTTGCGAATGTGTAACCAAGAGATTCGGATTACGTAAGAGCCATGTTATTGTTTTAGTGGATGAGAAGGGAGTAGAAGTTCAAGTAGAGATAAAAAAAATTTGGTTGCAATCTTCAGAAAACATCTCAATCTTCCATTGTCACACTTTAATATAAATTAGAAAAGATTCTCTGGTGACAGAAAAGCTTCTGCTGCCTCTTTCCTCTTTTGGTATGCTCCACTGCTCCCACTCTGGTATATATTGGAGAGTTTTTTTTTTTTTTTTTGGAACATGGTCAATTGTTTTTAATTGTTTACTAAAAGCAAAATCTATAGTTTTAGTACACCATTTGATTATAATGAATAATGGGTAGAACAAGATATATTGCAAGATGTGTGGTAGGAAATGATATCATTGCTCATGAAATGCATATATATATTTTTTAATTATTAATCTTGATATGATCTTTTAATCTTGATCGGTACCTTTGTTACGTAAGGCCAACAGCGACCTTGACTTCCTTCAGAACTTCGGGCTTTGTTCCTCATGTGCCCTCATGCTCATCAAATACCTTTCGAGCAATAATAATCGATATTAAAGAAAGAAAAAGTGAAATTAAATGTCTAGTCGAGAGCATAAACTCGTTTAGTTTTGTAATCATGAGAAGAAATATTGTTCCCCAATTTGAAATTTGAGTTTAGAACTCTTCACTTTCTCTGAAAACTCTCTATTTTGGGATGTAAACACAAATATAAAAGAGACACCCTAATCTTGCAATTTAAACCTAACTTGATTTACACTTATCTAATGGCTTTCAAAAGAATAACAAACTCATTAAATATCTATTTATTGTCCAAAATTATTTATTAAAAATAAATAAACTGAAAACTGAAACGTCTTAACAATAAACCGAATGTTAAGTATTTAAAAACAAAACTAAAATAAATATAATTAAAATCTTTACTAAAAATAAATAAATAAAATGCGCCCATAGTCCCCGGAAGCAACACCGCATCAACTGCCACAAGTACTACTTTTCGGTTTCACCTGAAAAAGAAGAGAGGTGAGTATTCGGGAAAAAAAATACTCAGTGACAGTGTATTTAAAGAGCACACAAGATTCATAAACACATTATATAACATAGTAATACGAGTATTCAAAATATAGATATTGAACCCACACAACATTCAACCTAAAATATAATTACTAATTTTATTATATAACATAATTCTAATATTCCTAATCAGGTAATCACTCAATCATAGCAATCAACCTAGAGATTGTATAACACATTCCCAAAGAACTTCCGTCAATGGTACTCATTCTCTGCCACCACCCATTCTGGGCTTGACAAGTTTCCGGTGCCACCACCCTTGACAGGGCTTGACTATGGCTCGTCAGCCCTTTCTCGATTACTACAGCTTCACAATATTCAGTCCTTCATTATAGCCCGTCAAACAAAACTGTAAACAATCATGTTCACAACATTACATCAACAAGTACTAACAACCTATCAATCAGGTAACTCAACAATTTCTCTAAGCTCTAGTATCATTCATCATTCATCAGTTAACAATCATCAATTATCACTCAAATTCAATATCTATACCAAGCATACCCTTATCACTAGACCAGCTAATGCATCAAATGAATCTACTAACTAGTCCTCACCTTAAAAAGACCAAAACTCGAGTCTGAGGAAGAGTAAGTTGGTATCCAATCCCTGAGATACACACAGCACAAAAACTAGGGTTTCAGATTCGCAAGTTTAGGCTGTTTCTTGTCCAAGAAGCTACAGCGATAACTTTCGCTTATTACCTCGGAATCTGGATCTGAAAGTTGATCTGGAAAGCGGGATCCGAGATCTACAGATCGGTATATGGATCGCTATCTGAGTCCTTCTGGATCGACGGCAAATCCTCACTCAAGTTGGCACTGCGAAACTGGAAAAATCAGATTTGCTGAAACAAATGATTTTTCGCCAATTTTCAGCTCACGTAAAAAACGGAGCTTACCTCGGAATTTGGATCTGTAAGCTGCTACGGATTCCTTGCAGCAAGATATTTCCAGAGGTATATAGATCGGCACCTACCTCGATCTGAGTTGCTGGCAAAAGACACAGCAAAACCCTCACTTGGACACAATATTAAACTGGGTTGCAGAGGGTTTTTAAAGAGTTTCACTGCATTAACTCTTTGTGTCTCTCAAATGAATGTGACTGGCCCTTTATATAGGGTGAGGGTCGAGATCCTAGGTATAGGATGGAGGAAAAATGACAAAAATACCCTTATTTACACTTAGGGCTTTATTTCTCTTTTTTTGGGCTTGATGGATTTTAGGCTCATAATTTTGGGATGTCACAATGCTTTATTTCTCTTCTTTTGGGTTTGATGGATTTTGGGCTCATAATTTTGGGATGTCACAATATACATAGGTTACAACTTACAACATACACAAATCATACCATATTGTAGCAAACACAAAATAGCCCCAACCCAGACGAATTGTACATACAAAAATACCTCACGTAACAAAAAATGATGTAATCAATAATAACATCAATTCAATTTGGTTAAAATTGATTTCACCTATATATAATGAACATGTTGGGCTAATAATCATCACTCTCCCATTGTATTAGCAATTATTATGGAAGCAAAGAATTGCAAACTTTATGTCCTCTAAATTGTAGCAAAATTGGGGTATATATCAATCATTTTCGATATGATTCATGCGAACGCTCATTTTCTTTTCTGATCGATTTGAGAAAGAGACTAGGAAGCAGATTGCAGAAAAGTAAATATTTTGAGAAATTAACAGTTTCAACATCTATTGTTAATGTGGTAGCAACTTAATTATGTTAGGATTATTTCAAAAAATCCACTACAGTACTTCACCACAGAAAAAAAAGTTACAATAATATATCTCTTTACGATCGCTTCTCGATCTCTTACATCAGAAAACGATAACAAAAAAGGTTCGTCACACATCATATAAGAGATCACACCAGCTTATATCAAAAGTCGGGCGAGGTTCCGTAACTCGGTCTGGTTAGGATCGAGTTATTCGGTTTTTAGGTTTTAGAAAATAGGTCACATTCTTATTTTTTTATATCAGATTGGTTCAGTTTTGTTTTTTATAATGGGGTCGCGAGAGAGCAGAACGTACCAACCTGCCATAGTCACAAGTTGTTTATAGTCGCGACTCTTGTCATAGTCAAGAATGTTGAAACTTCCAGGAAAAAAACTTTGAATTGGGAGGGCGAGCCTGCTAGGTGATGGAAATCGCTCAGGTCAGCTAGGTTCAATTTCAGTAAAGATTATTATAAAAAAAATTATAAATAACTAATTAGATTTAACTGATGTTTTAGATTTTAGTATATTTTAATATATTTATCTAAAAGTATTCATTATTTTTGAATTTTGGTTACTTTGAATAATTTGCATACGGGTTGATGAATCATTTTGCTACAATATGGTTGAGAAAAGTAAACCCATTGGCGAATCATATTAGTTAGTTTGGATAATTCGCTTACCCAGTAAAAAAAAAGATGAAGAAAAAGCTTTTCTATTGATGAATCTAAGATTGAGAAATCTTTTCTACAAATTGATAAAAACGGCTAAAAGAATTGTGTCTCTGTCTAAAGCATGAAAGAGATACATAAAATAACCTAGAAGATAAGTATTTATAGTCTTCAATACTCCAAGACGTCTAGGGCTTCGAATATAAGGTCGGGAATAACTTGGGCTTCGAGAATGGGGTTTTTAAGTTGGAGATGGCTGGCCGCGGTCGCATGGAACGTGACCATGGGAAGTGGATGGTTGGCCGCGGTCGTATCTGCTAGCCGCGGTCATATCCTGCTGGCCACGGAGGATAGAGGCCTGATCGCGGTCGCATGGTTTCTAGACAGCTTCATTCGTCTTTGGGGCAATCAGATTATCTTGAGATCCAACCGTTGGAATGTCTCCAAACCAATTGGAATTGAAAGCTGATTAAGACTTCTATTTATTATCCAATTTTGGGGATAATCAGACAGTGAGAAGGTCCTCGTCTCTCCTTGAGAGTTCTGACGGTCTGAATTTATCTAAAAGTGCTATCTTTCTCCCAAGTGATAACGCCGTATTTTGACCACTTTTATGGATCGTTTTGAAATATTTTTTTTTATGTTTTTTATTGATTTCAAGTTTTTTTATTATGTTTTTCTAGTATTTGTAGTTGCAAGACTCTTTTTTGGAAACCTAGGGAAAAAATTAACAAAATGGATAGAAGACCAGAATTCAGCTCAGAGTCAAACCGTCAGAAGTACAACCTAAAATGAAGACATTCTCGCCGTCTGATCCAGCTCAAATTTGGAGACCTCAAAGATGGAACTATCAGCTTTCCTGCACACCTTATAGAATGGGATTCCAACGGTTCAATCAAAAGTTACGCGAAGAGCAAGATATCCCATAAACCAGCCGGCAAGCATTTCCACCCGCGGCTAACAGCCTGTTCACCACGGTCAGAGGCTATATGACCACAGCCAAGAATCCATTCAGCGAAACCACGTTCTATCCGACTGCGGCCAGCCATCTCCGATTTAGAAAGCCCATTTCTGAAGCCCAAGTCATTTTCTCAGCCTCAATTCTAGAACCCTAGAGACCATGGAGCATTAGAAATTATAAATACTTATCATTTAAGTCATTTTAGAGAGAGACGAAATACTTTATAGAAAGATACAATTTTAAGCTTTGTTTTAGAGTTAGGGAAAGAGATCTATCTTCTGAACCCTTTTTGTTTCTCTGCTATTTTCGAGTTCTATTTTACTTTTTAATACTATGTCTTTGCTTTCGTTCATCATGTCTGAGTAGTTCTATTGTTGGGTTTAAGGGATTTTCAATGGGGGTTATATATGTTCGATGAGGGTTATATATGGGAGTAACATCACAAACTACAATCTGATCTAGGTTTTGGGTGTTGCAAAAGTTTTCATTCGAGGTGAGATCTAGTTCGGGAAGAGCAGATCGACCATAGGAATGAAAACCTACTTATGGGAGAGCTGTGAATATTTATGAGTCTTAAGCATATCACCTCTTTTCTCTTCCAGGGCCAGAGTGGAAACCTACTGGTCAGGGTTGAGATAGATAGTTGATTATGATCACGATAGTGGCGTATTCTAATAACACCGGATTTTGACCATTTTTATGGATCACTTTAATGTCTTTTACAGGTGTTTTTACTCCATTTTCAAAGGTTTTCAAATGATTTCTATGTTTTCGGATTTTAAAAGACTTTTCAGGTAATTTGGGATAAAGAGGCACAAATTAGAACAAAAAGACTTTTTTGGATAAATGCAGACCGTAAGAACTCTCATGGAGAGACGAAGACCTTCTCACCGTCTGATCACCCTCAAAATTGGACAACTTATAGAAGAATCAACCAGCTTTCAAATGCACTTGGCTTGGAGACATTCCAACGGTTGGATCTCAAGATATTCCATTAGCCCCAGAGCCACTCGAAGACGGCCAGCAAGTCACGCGACCGCGGCCAACAGCCCATTTCCCACGGTCACAAGCCTCCCGACCGCGGCCAGCCACCTATTTCCCGCGGTCATGTCATTCCCGACTGCGGCTGGCTAACTCCGAACTAAAGCCCATATTTCTGAAGCCCAAAGTCATTCTCAGCCTCAATTCCGGAACCCTAGAGACCATTTAGGTCGTTTTTAGACACGACCCTTCATACTTTACAGAAACCCTTTTTCTTTAGCCATTTTTATGCGATTTTTGTAGAAGATTGTTCAAGTCCGAGTTCTTCAATAGAGAAGCTTTCTTCATCTCTTTTCTTTACTGTTTTTGATTACTTTTATTAAAACCAATGATGATGTCGACCTCAGCCATGTCTGAGTAGATCCCGAGTTGGGCTTACGGTTCCCGAAAAGGGCTCTCATAATCGATTAATACAGCTAGGTTTATAGATCTGGGATTTCGACTTTGTTCTCTGTTTATTCTTGTTCTTATTGCATGTATGCTTGATTGATCACCTAATATCTGATTTAGATAGTTAGTGTTGCGAAAGTTTTTATTAAGTATCAGCCCTAGAATGAAACATGCTATTTTTCCGTAGGAGTGGAAACCTACCTGCGGCGAGATCGTGAGTATTGACGAGTCTTGTGCAGCTCTTGCGTTCTCTCCCTTTCAGGGCCAGAGTGGAAACCTACTGGTCAGGGTTGCGAGAAACAGTTGGTTATAATCACGACAGTGACGTAGTCATACCGCCGTACTCTAGCTCTAGAACCCTATATATCGATATCCGTCAATCCCAATCTATCTACCCTAGTGTTAAAACCGATTATGATCCCTGTAGAGTTCCCAAAAGCTCAGCGTTTTTAGCCATAGTTTACAAACCAATCGATTTTTACTTGCTTATTTAGATCTGCATTTCAATTGCTTTAGTTCGATATTTTGCTTGCTTTACTTCCTTTTCATTCGATTATTTTACTTGTTCCTTAGGATAGATTTATTTGCTTTCTTTTGTTTTAGTTTAATCCGTGAAAAAAACCAACCTTTAAAACAATTCTAGTCTAGACACAAAGTTAGAAACCGTAGAAGAATACCAGGCACACAAATCTCTGTGGATTCGATCCCTAAATACTACAACTGATTAGCTGTGCACTTGCGGCTTTCATTTGTTTTGGTTAAGGGTAAAACTTGTTCCCTCACGCAGTTGACACGCATCAAGTTTTTGGTGCCGTTGCCGGGAATTTTTTTGCTGCCTTTTGTTATTTTGCTTATTTTAACTTCTGTTCTAGACACCTGATCTCTAGTTCTTTCTTAAAGTTTTGCTGAATTATCTTTCCATTCTTTTGTTTTTCTCTGAATTGCATGAATACCAGGGGCAGACCTGTAGAAAAAATTTCAATTCTAGACGAGATAGACAGACACGAAAGAGAACTTCGAAGACTTAGACGAACGCAAGGAATGGCCAACGACGACCAGCCTGGAGATCCTATTAACCGAGCTTTAAATATGGACCAAGACGGGTCCAAACATGGAGAAAATGAAGAGAATGATCACAGTGGAGGTGATCATGCTCGACGAGATGGAGAGGAGGATGAGGTTCCTCCGAGAAACCACCAGAACCGTGAGAGAGAAGAACGTGAAGACCTTGATGCACCCATCAATGCAGCCGATGGTGACCACCAAGGAATGCAGCCGAATGGGCGTGCTAACCGCCCTGTGCAGCCAGCAAATCAACACCGAAGACAAGCCAGGAACCATCGCATAGCTGATTTTGATGCACCTACTCAAAATTTTCAGAACCGATCTGCAATTCAAGTTCAATTTCCGAACCAGAATGAGTTTGAAGTCAAGCCTCATGTCATCTCATTGGTGAAACAAAGCCAATTCCATGGAGTTCCTTCTGAACACCCAATAGACCATATCGAGCTCTTTGAAGAAATCTGCAGCATGATGAGAACAAACCAAGTTCCAGCAGACTATTTAAAGTGTAAGTTGTTCCCTTTTTCATTAGCAGACAAAGCTCACCGTTGGTTGAAATCTTTGCCTGCAGGATTGATTACTAATTGGGAAGAGTGTAAAACTGCTTTCCTGAATCACTTCTATACTAAGTCAAGGTCGAATTTGTTGAGAACAAAGATCTCAAGCTTTCAACAAGGACCGACTGAATCTTTCTATGAAGCCTGGGAACGTTTTAAGGAGTATGAACGTGATTGCCCTCACCATGGATTTCCTGGATCAAGCCTGCTGAGCACATTTTACCGAGGGTTGCAACCAAAATACAAACTTTCGCTTGATACAGCTAGCAATGGAGATTTTGGACAAAAGACGATAGCACAAGGAAGAGCCCCCATCGAGAATTTGGCTCAAGCCAATAGCAATGATTGTCCTGAGTACAATCGCTCGACGAGGCAAACCGGAACAGACAATAAGGAGATAACTGAGTTGAAGAACATGATGAGCCAGCTTTTAAAGAGCAACAATCGCCCAATCCATGCTTGTGAGACCAACAATGGCGCAGAAGATGAAGGACCTAGTGATATCGATCACATTAATCAAGCCTTTCAAGAAGAAGAGGTGAATTATGTAGGAGCACAAGCACCATACCCAAACCGCTTCAACAATGGTTTCAACAACAACTTCTAGAATACAAATTACAACAATCTCTGTTGGAGTCGGTTTTCACCCCACGCAGATAAAACCATCTCAAAATGACTAAGTATGGAAGAAAGACAAGTGGGAGAGCCGTTCTCACCAAGAAAAGTGGGAGAGCCGTTCTCACCAAGACAAGTGGGAGAGCCGTTCTCACTAAGTGGGAGAGCCGTGAAGGTAGACCAGTAGGGAGAGCCGTGAGGAAAGAGAGATGGGCCGAGCCGTATCGCAAGAAATGGGCCGAGCCCCTCTCCAACACGCCTGGGCCGAGCCGTGCCTCGGTGAGGCGGACCAGATCACGTCTCGACTCAAATGGCAAGTGTGCCGAGCCGTGGAGAAGTTTATATGGGCCGAGCCGTGGAGAAGTTTAGATGGGCCAAGCCGTGGAGAAGTTCAGATGGGCCGAACCAAGGCCTTGAGAGACGAAGCCCATAAAAACGCTGGACGAAATACAAAGGCGGTGAGCCGCACGAGGCGATAAGGAAATATTCCGAAAATCTCTCCCGAGATTCTCGGCTAGGCGGTTCGGAGAATTAGTATAAATAGATGATGTATACAATTCATTCTGTAACTTTTGCAACCCTAAGCAATAAGAGCTAAACACTTTTACAGCAAGAAAAAATTTCTTTCGATCTTTCTGTTCTTGACGATAAACCCTAGAAGTTTCCGATCCCTTAGTTTTCTTTAAACAAATTTCTGGTTGTGCGAGTTTTGGCTCACACAATTTGGCGCCGTTTGAGGGGAATCGAAACTTTCTTACTCTAAATCGACAAGACTTTAAGATCCGAAGAACATGGCGAGCAACACCCCCGATGATAACAACAACAACAACAACACCGGTAACGGCGCGGAGAAGGACGCTCTGGCATCGGGCACAACGACGGCAACTATCGAAACCCAAGGGGAGATGTGAAACATGATGGCTGCGTTGATGAAGAAAATCGACGAACAGGATAAAAGAAACGAGGCGATTACGAAGAGGCTTGACGCGATGGCGGCTGAGCGACTACACCCAACTTGGAGAGCCGGAATTCCCGACCTGATGGATGGAATCCGGAGACGCTTCAATTTCTCGACACCTGCAGAAGCCTCAGGGAGCGGCGCAAGAAACCCCTCGGCTCCTCCCATGTCTCGTCTCCTCGACGAACAGACCCCCGCGGCGACCCGAGTCGACATGACCGAGCCGCCCCCTCTCCGCCGAAACTCAAGGCGACGAGCCGGCGAAGAAGAAAACGATGCGATCGACGTAGACGCCCAGCAGAACGACGGAACCACGAATCCGCAACAAACCGGCTCGGCTCGGCGAATAAGTCAGGAAGACCTCGCCTCGGCACTAAACGGCATCCGAACTGACGAAGTTTCCGACCCAACCCGTGGCAACAATCCAACCGAGGAGGACGAAAATCTCCAATGGATCGAACAGGCAGAGCGCGAAGACGAGCCGAGGAGAGAGGAGGGGGAGCGACCCCCCTAATCAAAGAGAATGACTCACGCACAAACTCTCGAACTCAGAGAGCTGCGAGCCTCGATGGCTCGGACAGTAGCTGAAATACGCGCCATGAAATCCCAAGTGCACAACGCGACAAGCGCCGCGCCCAAAATCGACTTAATGCTTGAAAAAACTCAGAGAACCCCGTTCACTGTAAGAATCACGGAGGCCAGGATTCCCGAGCCGGGAAAGGTGAGAATCCCGTTCTACGAAGGAACAACCGACCCGAAAGCACACATCACAGCGTTTCGGATAGCAATGGGACGAGCCTTCACAAAGAAAGCCGCTAAACTCACCGAGCGCGAGGTAGACGCCGGATACTGCCTGCTCTTCGTGGAGCATCTCAAGGGAGCCGCACTCGAGTGGTTTTCGAGGCAGGAACGAAATTCAATCGGTAATTTTCAACAGCTCTCCGCCTTGTTCCTTAAGCAATACTCAATGTTTATGGACAGAGGAACATCTGATGCCGACCTGTGGACACTATCCCAAGGACCAAACGAACCGCTTCGGGATTACATGGCAAGGTTCAAGGCAGTCGTATCCAAAATAGAAGGGATAAGCGACAAGGCTGCGCTCGAAGCTCTGAAACGATCTTTGTGGTACAAATCCGAGTTCCGACGGGAGATGGCTCTCAACACGCCGCAAACAATTCAAGACGCTTTGCACCGATCATCAGACTTCGTCGTAAACGAGGAGGAATTGAAAAACTTGGACGAACAGTACGAAGCAACGAAAGCAGCAATCCGAAGCTCAATTTTGCCGCGCCCCGCGAAGAAGGGTAACCCATCGAGCAACGCATCAACGCAGAGCTCGGATGAACCTAGAAGCGGAGGCGCCCATTACTACCAGATAGGCACCGGGCACGGAAGAGGAGAGCCGCGCAACAACACTTGGGTGAGAAAGTCCGCCAACTACGACGAGAAGGCTTTCTGCGAGTATCACCAGACCTACGGGCATTCAACGGCTCAATGCCGAACTTTAGGAGCAAAGCTCGCAGCAAAGATGGCAGCAGGAGAGCTCCAAACCGCAGTCAGCCTCAAAGACCTCGTTCCTAACGAACAAAAGGAGATAGCCCAGCCGAGCGGCGCGGCGGAATCCGCGAATCCTCCCCGACGAGGCGTTAACCCCAAACGCGACAGGAGAGGCAAACCTGAAGAGCGACCCGAGCCGAGGAAAGGATAGATATGATCATGGGTGGATCCCAATACTACCAAGATACCATGTCCTCCATCAAAGCCTATCAGCGCCGAGCCGAAGCGAAGAAGAATTGGACAGAACCAACCGACATCCCAAACACAGTGATCTCCTTCGCCGAGGAGGACACGGTAGGAATCGATCGACCTCATAACGATCCATTGGTGATTGAGTTAACGATCAGGGATCATGACGTAGCGAGGGTGCTCATCGATACTGGAAGCTCAGTGAACGTCATCTTCAGGGAAACACTCAGAAGAATGGGAATCGATCTCTCCGAGGTGGAAGCAATCCCCAAACCTCTAACCGGATTTTCAGGAGAAACGACGATGACTATGGGAACGATCAGGCTTCCTGTGGTAGCTGGCGGAGTCACTAAGATCGTCGGATTCTGCGTCACCGATCACCCAGCAATATACAATGTGATCATGAGAACTCCGTGGATCAATGGGATGAAGGCGGTACCCTCATCTCTGCCTCAAATTCCCAACCCCAGCAGGTATTAAAACGATCTGGGGGAGTCAGAAGGAGTCACGAATGTGCTGCCTAGCCGAGCACAAGCTAAGGAACCCCGTCACTGACGCACGAGCAGACATCGACCGCAAAAAGATGATGACAGACCGAGAGCCCGCGAAAGAGATCTCGAAACTCTTATAGCAATTACAGATCGCGGAGAGCCGCGAAACACATGCCGAGCCAGTATGCGACGCAGTGGACTTGGTGTGTATAGATGAGGCGCGCCCGGAGCGATGCGTCGAAATAGGAACAAAACTGGAAGAGCCCTTGAGAAGCGAACTCCTTTCCCTCCTCAAGGAAAACATCAACACTTTCGCCTGGACAGCGGAAGATATGCCAGGCATAAGCATCGACGTGACCTGTCACGATCTGAATGTGGACCCGACCTTTAAGCCAATCAAGCAGAAAAGAAGGAAGCTCGGCCCCGAACGAGCTAAAGCAGTTAACGACGAAGTCGAGAGGTTACTCAAAGTAGGATCAATCGCCAAGGCCAAATATCCGGACTGGCTCGCAAATCCAGTGGTCGTGAAGAAAAAGAACGGCAAGTGGCGAGTATGTGTGGATTTCACCGACCTCAACAAGGGCGTGCCCAAAAGACAGCTTTCCCTTGCCACACATCGACCGGCTCGTCGAAGCCACTGCAAGGAATAGACTGTTAACATTTATGGACGCATTCTCCGGCTACAATCAGATCCTGATGCATCCTGATGATCGGGAAAAAATGGCTTTCATAACTGATCGCGGTATATACTGCTACAAACTCATGCCGTTCGGGCTCAAGAACGCAGGAGCAACGTATCAACGGCTCGTCAACAAAATGTTCGCGGCTCAGCTCGGGAAAACCATGGAAGTAGACATCGACGACATGTTAGTCAAATCACTCAAGGATGAAGACCACGTCGTGCATCTACGGGAATGCTTCGAGAACCTGAACAAGCACAACATGAAATTAAACCCGGTGAAATGCAGATTCGCTGTCACTTCGGGAGAATTCCTCGACTATCTGGTAACTCACCGAAGCATAGAAGCAAACCCCAAGCAGATCAAGGCATTGATTGAGATGCCCTCTCCAAGGACGAAGCGCGCAGTGCAAAGGCTCACAGGAAGAGTCGCCGCGCTAAACAGATTTATTTCCCGCTCCACAGACAAGTGCCTGCCCTTCTACGACACCTTCCGAGGAAACAAGAAATTTGAGTGGGACGAGCGATGCGAAGCAGCTTTCCAGGAATTGAAGAGTTATCTGGCGAGCCCACCAATCTTAGCAAAACCAGTCGAAGGAGAGCCGCTCTTCCTCTACATCGCAGTGTCTGCTACAGCTGTAAGCGGAGTGCTTATCAGAGAAGAACGATCCGAGCAAAAGCCCATTTTCTACATCATCCAGATCGAGAAGGTCGCCCTAGCCGTCGTAGTCTCGGCTCGCAAACTGCGCCCGTACTTTCAATCACATTCGATTGTTGTGCTCGCTATGCTTCCGCTGCGCTCGATCCTCCACAGCCCTAGCCAATCCGGTCGGCTCGCCAATTGGGTGATAGAGCTAAGCGAATACGACATCGAGTATCGGAACAGGTCATCTGCAAAGTCACAGGTGCTCGCAGATTTCCTCATTGAACTTCCCGCCGAAGCAACAGACGAGCCGACTTTAGACGAAGTGTGGACGCTGCACGTCGACGGCTCGTCGTCTAAACACGGCTCGGTAATAGGAATCCGCCTCACCTCTCCCACCGGAGAAATATTAGAGCAGTATTTTCGCCTGAAATTCCACGCCTCGAACAACGAAGCGGAGTACAAAGCACTGATCGCCGGCATACGACTAGCGCAGGGAATCAGAGTTCGAAAGATAAGAACTTTTTGCGATTCACAGCTCGTAGCATGTCAGTTCAACGGAGAATACGAGGCAAAGGATGGACGAATGGGAGCTTACCTCAAAGTGGTCCGAGTGTTGGTGCAAAAGTTTGATGAGTTCGAACTCACGCGCATTCCCCGAGGAGAAAACACCTCGGCCGACGCCTTGGCAGCACTCGCCTCGACCTCGGACCCAGACCTCCGACGAACGATCCCAGTCGAATTCATCGAACGTTCTAGCATCGAAGAGGTAGAAGGAGTTCGGCTGATAAATCCTCCCGAACAAGAACCAGAGGACGACGAAGCCATTCCTATGGACGAAGACGCCTCACCGGCCGAGCCGGAGTACGGCTGCGACAAAGAATGGCTCGGAGCTATCCGCGTGTATATCGCCGATGGAGAGTTGCCAACCGACAAATGGAAAGCCCGCAAACTAAAAGCTCAGGCCGCACGTTATGTCCTCGTCGATGGCGAGGTGTTTAAATGGAGATTTTCAGGGCCTCTCATGACATGCGTCGAAGGACCGGAAGCAAGAAAGATCATGCACGAGGTGCACAGCGGCGCGTGCGGGAACTACTCCAGCGGAAGGTCGCTCGCTATCAAGATAAAACGGCACAGCTACTTCTGGCCCACGATGGTCAAGGACTGCGAAAAATTTACGGCGAAGTGCGAGAAGTGTCAGCGGCACGCTCCAACAATTCATCAACCTACCGAGTTGCTCTCGTCAATTTCGTCACCTTATCCGTTCATGAGATGGTCGATGGACATCGTCGGACCTCTACATCGCTCGAAGCAGAAGCGTTTTCTGCTCGTCCTCACAGATTACTTCTCCAAGTGGGTCGAGGCCGATTCTTACGCAAGCATAAAGGATGTTCAAGTCGAACACTTTGTCTGGAAAAATATCATCTGCCGACACGGGGTCCCTTACGAGATAGTCACCGACAACGGATCCCAGTTCATCTCAACACGCTTCGAAGCCTTCTGCGAGAAGTGGAAAATCCGCCTCAGCAAATATACACCAAGATACCCTCAAGGGAACGGACAAGCCGAAGCAGCCAACAAGACGATCCTCGACGGTCTGAAAAAGAGGCTCGACGCCAAGAAGGGACGGTGGGCAGACGAACTCGAAGGAGTCCTTTGGTCTCATCAGACAACTCCGCGCTGAGCCACCGGAGAAACTCCATTCGCTTTGGTCTACGGATCGGAGTGCGTAATTCCCCCCGAGGTGGATTTCCCAGGTATTCGACAAAGACTTCTACCATGACAGGAGGGCTTGAACCACTTAATGATGCTAGATGAGCTCGACCTAATCAACGAAAAGCGCGACCAAGCCTTAATTCGAATCCAGAACTATCAACAAGCGACGGCGAAATACTACAACAAAAATGTTCGTAGTCGAAGATTCAAAGCAGGGGAGCTCGTCCTCCGAAAGGTCTTCCAAAACACTGCCGAGAAGAACGCAGGAAAGCTCGGAGCAAAATCGGAAGGTCCTTACAAGGTCACAAAAGTGGTTCGTCCAGGAGTCTACGAACTCGCGACACTAGCTGGCGAGGCGATTCCAAGATCATGGAACGCAATGCATCTGAAGAAATACTATCACTAAGGATACAGCACGACCAGCATGAACTACGGGACGGCTTGATCCCTGCAAAGGGTACGTAGGCAGCCCGTCCTTGGACGGGTTCAGCTGTCCCCCCTCCTCAAAAGGGGGGGGGTGGGTACGTATACACATACTTCCTTTAACTCTACAATTTTTAGCTTTTTTAGCTCGCTCACTTAGGAACATCGCCACTTCGGCACATTCTCAGCTCGTTTTGAATCATCTACTTATTTCACGTTTACCTTGGATTTCTAGTTTGCTCATTATCGCTTCGGCTAGTTTCTCATTCTTTCTAAATCAGAAACTTATTTTAACAAGCTCGGATTTTTTCTTTCACTCATCACTTCGGCGAGAAATCATACCATTTCGGCATGATATCATGACCTGATTACCTCGGACATTCGTTGGTCCTCAGTTTCAGTTCGGCAAACTAAGCCTCCGAACGCCTCGCCTCGTTGCTGGCCACAACGGGGCAACAAATACAAAGTTCTCTAAACGGACTTTTACCACCTTTCCTAGGACGAGGGTGCAAGTTACATCCTCTACGGATAAAAATGAAGCGAGCTATACAAATATCAGACCAAAAATGTACCAGGTCGTCATGGTTTACTATCGCACACGAGATTATAAGTCGAGACTACATCGCTTTCTCTAAAACCGAAGTAAACTCTCGAAACCCGGACAAGCCTACTCATCCTCTCGGAAACGCCGGTCCATAGTCAAATTCAATGAGACTACCAAATCATCCTCGGTTAACAAAAACAAAAACAAAACGCCTCGTCGTCTACACGGCTCGGCACCATGCAAAGCAAAAACGCCTCGTCGTTTACGCGGCTCGGCACCATGCAAAGCAAAAACGTCTCGTCGTTTACACGGCTCGGCACCATGCAAAGCGAAAATGTCTCGTCGTGTACACGGCTCGGCACCATGCCAGCAAAAATTTTCCAGCTCGGATTAAGAATCCAGCTCCACCCGAAAGACGCGTCACAAAACTAACTCCCAGCTCGGGATTGAGAATCCAAACAGGATCCTTAAAACAACTTACCCCTTAGCCCGTATTTCTGTCGATTCCAAAATTCGGCTAAGGAAGCAATCAAAATCTTTCTCAAACACAACAATTTTCATCCTTGGCAATTCTTTTCTAAGCCAACGGTTTTCAAAGATATTTTCCACAAATCTTTGAAAATAAGTGCATCAAATCCTAAAACGGCTAAGGGGAAAAGAATATATCCATAAGCAAAAATAAATGTCGGGTGGATAAAGCCGTCCATGCACTGGTTACATAAAAGAGTTCAGAAATCAGATAAAAATCCTAAGTACAGCAGCATGAAAGACAAAAAAGGGAAAAGCAGAGAGTATCAGGCCGCGGACTGCATTTCACGCTCGGCGAGGAGGTTTGAGAGGACCGGCGTGCCCGCTTTCGATCCGTTCGGATCTACGACACCTAAGTTGGCCGCTGTCTCTTCGAGCGGCTCGTTGCCAAGGGTGGTGTCGACCGAGTCAGACGATACGGGAGAGTAATACAGCTCGCCTCGAATCTCGGAAGCAATACGCTCGTACGCCTCGTCGTCGGCATACTCACTCTCCCAGCTCTTCAGCTTTGCCTCCTCGTCATCAAGCGTCGGGGCGTCCGACTTCTTCAGGTCGGCAATTATCGCAAGATTGCCCTTGATCTGCCCCAGATCGTTCTCATCATTTTTGGCCTTCTCAAGCCTGACCAAACCCTCCTCCACCTTGGCGAGGCGTTCCTGAAACTTCGCCGTAAGCTCTCGCCTCGCCTCCTTTTTCGCCCGCTTGACCTTGACGTCGAACAAGGCGTCCTTGGCCTCGATACGCCTCTTCAGCAACGCCACCTCGGCGCTTTTGGCTCTCCTTGCCTCCTCCAAACGAATCACCGAGGCGGAAACTTTGTCAACATTGGCGCGGAGAACTATTTTCTCCTCTTCCAACCTCGACACTCGAGTCATCGCCTCGGTGAGTTTCCCCTTCGCCGCGGCGGCTTCGTTTTGCGCATCTACCAGCTTCACCTTTGACGCCGCGGTCTCATTTCAGGCCTCGTCCAAACGACGCTCGACCTTAGACAGGTCCGCCACATACTCGGCCATCAGGTCCTTAATGGCCGCGACAAACTGCAGAGAACAAACCTGCATTAAATACTTCGTAAAATTCGTGAAAATAAAAGAAAGCAAATAGAACGTACCTTGGTACCGCGCTGCGCCATCGCGCCGTATGACCTCGCCCTCCTCAGCTTCTCAGGAGGAGGAAGACGCGTGTTCGCGTTATTTACACGCGAGAACATGACGGCAGAAGCGTCAGGGTCGTCAACAACCAACTTACGCGCGGCGGGATCCCCGGGCATCGGTTTCCGCCTCTTCTTGGACGGCTCGTCCTTCTGAACGGCGACGCCTTTCCCCTTGTCGGTAGCCGAACGTTTTCGGCTAGAGTCATGCTTCTGAACAACCGAACGGTGGCCTCGTCGACTTCGGGAGGGCCAGGATGGTGGATTGCGAAGGAGTCTTACTCCGCGCCGCCGAGCCGTCCTTGGACACCTCGGGGATAATTTCGCCCGGTTCCACCTCGGGTGCCGCGCCTTTCTCAGCCGCCTCCGCAGCGTCGCCTTTTGCAGCTCGGACCATTATATCTCCTCCCTGGCTTGGCGGGTCGGGTTGAAGGATGGCCTCGGCTTGCTCTGAAACCGCCTCGGCTTGCTCTGAAACCGCCTCGGCTTGTGCTGCAACTGCCTCGGTTTGCGCGTGAGCCGCCTCGGCAGCTTGTCTAGCGGCTTCCTCTTCCTCACGCCTCTTCCTTTCTCTGAGAGCGATTATCACCATCTTCTCCCGGGTATCTCTTGAAGAACTTGAGGACGAAGAGCTGACGGGGACTCCGGCAAGGATGGCTCGCGCTTTTTTCTACTCTTTCGAGGGTGAAGTTCTTTCTCCAATTAACCTTCCGCGCCGAAAGAGAGTCTCGAACAGTAAAGAGGTCGTCGGGAATCGGGGGAAGAAAGCACCAAACAGATTTTACAAGAAACCTCATGAAGCTTTACAAGACAGATTTTAACTGATAATTTCGTGCTCTCTATGACTCTATATCTAAAGGTGTTCCCTCTCTAAAAAAAAAAAAAAAAAAACGAAAGAATGAAAAGAGAGAGGGAAACAAAAAGCCTAATGAGTCCTAGATTGTTGAAATTTGTGGAGCAAGAAGCAACTACTAAGCATTTATAGAGCTATGTTTTTGAAAGATTTACAAAAAAAATCTAAGTCTGGGGGAGTTAGGAGAGAACCTGAGGAAGAAGACCAGGAATCTATGGCAAGAAGAAAGTGACTGAAAACTGTGGATACCAACAGCTTCACTCTCTCTTGCGGTTTTGCATAATATCTTGCATTCTCCAGATCTTCAGGTAACCCGTAAACACTTTAAGCCTTACCCCCTAGAATAACCCTTTTTGACACCTAGCCTAGATTGCCTTGCCTAGACTTTCTTTGATGAAAACCACCGAGATTTTGAAATGAATGTTAAGAGCTAGTACTCTGGAAGTTAGATCTTAGTGTATAGATTTCCGCATGACGGATTAACGGACTAATTATGCTTGTATCGCTAGTGAGAATTTTCTAGGCTATTCCTGATTGATGCATACTGATTGATATTGGTCTAGAAGTTTGGTCTCTGAGATTTTGTTTAGTTCCTGCGTTTTCAAACCTCTCGCCGAGATTGAGCCTTTGTTTTGTTTGAGGACAAACAAAAGACTAAGTCTGGGGGAGTTGATAACCCCGGATTTTGACCATTTTTATGGATCACTTTAATGTCTTTTACATGTGTTTTTACTCCATTTTCAAAGGTTTTCAAAGGATTTCTATGTTTTCAGATTTTAAAAGACTTTTCAGGTAATTTGGGATAAAAAGGCACAAATTGGAACAAAAAAACTCTTTTGGATAAATGCAGACCGTCAGAACTCTCATGGAGAGACGAAGACCTTCTCACTGTCTGATCACCCTCAAAATTGGAAAACTTATAGAAGAATCAACCAGCTTTCAAATGCACTTGGTTTGGAGACATTCCAACGGTTGGATCTCAAGATATACCATTAGCCCCTGAGCCACTCGAAGATGGCCAGCAAGTCACGCGACCGCGACCAACAGCCCATTTCCCGCGGTCACAAGCCTCCCGACCGCGGCCAGCTACCTATTTCCCGCGGTCACGTCATTCCAGACCGCGGCCGGCTAACTCCGAACTAAAGCCCATATTTCTGAAGCCCAAAGTCATTCCCAGCTTCAATTCTGGAACCCTAGAGACCATGGAGTATTGAAGACTATAAATACTTGTCATTTAGGTCGTTTTTAGACACGACCCTTCATACTATACATAAACCCTTTTCCTTTAGCCATTTTTATTCGATTTTTGTAGAAGACTGTTTAAGTCCGAGTTCTTCAATAGAGAAGCTTTCTTCATCTCTTTTCTTTACTGTTTTTGATTACTTTTATTAAAACCAATGATGATGTCGACCTCAGCCATGTCTGAGTAGATCCCGAGTTGGGCTTACGGTTCCCGAAAGGGGCTCTCATAATCGATTAAGACATCTAGGTTTATAGATCTGGGATTTTGTCTTTGTTCTCTGTTTATTCTTGTTCTTATTGCATGTATGCTTGATTGATCACCTAGTATCTGATCTAGATAGTTAGTGTTGCGAAATTTTTCATTAAGTATCAGCCCTAGAATGAAATAAGCGATTTTTCCGTAGGAGTGGAAACCTACCTGCGGCGAGATCGTGAGTATTGACGAGTCTTGAGCAGCTCTTGCGTTCTCTCCCTTCCAGGGCCAGAGTGGAAACCTACTGGTCAGGGTTGCGAGAAACAGTTGGTTATGATCACGGCAGTGACATAGTCATACTTCCGTACTCTAGTTCTAGAACCCTATATATCGATATCCGTCAATCCCAATCTATCTACCCTAGTGTTAAAACCGATTATGATCCCTGTAGAGTTCCCAAAAGCTCAGCGTTTTTA